GTGTGTGTGTGTGTGTGTGTGTGTGTGTGTGTGTGTGTTGGTCAGGGAGCTTGAACTCTGGGCCTGGGTGGTATCCCTCAGCTCTTCAGCTCAAGACCAGTGCTCTGCCACTTGAGCCAGAGTATCATTTCCGGTTCTGTGGTGGTTAATTGGAGATAAGGGCCTTATGGACTTTCCTGCCTAGGCTAGCTTTGAACTTTGATCCTCAGATCTCAGCTTCCTGAGTAGCTAGAATTACAGGCTGAGCCACCGGCTATTATTGTTTTTAACTACTATCGACTCTAAGCTACTTATGTAATGGATATGTGGTTTATAATTGCTTTTATTACTATCAACTCTAAGTTCCATCTGTCTGACATCCTCAGAACTTATGTATCTGGCACATGGCAGGAGTAGAGTTGCTACCAAAATAGAAGGAATTCCACTGCAGTCTGTTCCAGCATCTCACCCCATTCCAGCCTCCACCACAATCTTCCAGAGCAGCAAGTACTTGGTAGGGTGGAGTCCCAGCAGGGAAGGAGAGAGACCACAGTCATTTACAGTATGTCCTGGTGAGCACACGTCATTTACAGTATGTCCTGGTGAGCACACATCCCAGTATCCAGCAGCCTTCCACATGGTGGGCTAATAAGCAGCAAGTAGGAAGCATTCTGGGGATAGCTGTTAAGAACTCCAGTCTCCATCTGGCTCAGAGGCCTGGGAAAGCATCTCAACAAGAGTAAGGGCTCATGGGTCCTGTTGCTTCTGATTCTTTGAAGTTCCTTCTTAGGTTGATAAATGGGCTCCAGCTGCTGTTTTCTTCCAAATGCAAGGGAACCAAGATTCAAATGTTCCTCATTATCCTCATGGTTCTCACTGATTCTGTGACGAACTGTGGTGGGGAAGGGGTATGGGGAACCTCCTAGGGGAAAGAAAGAATAGAAAATTGCATTGATGACACCTTCTATATACTTTATATAGCCATACCATTTTAGTCAGATTAGAAAATGGTCTCCACAAACCATTTTAGAACCATTAGTCAAGACTTAAATGACTGGGTTAAGCAAAAGTTGATTTCTATACCAGTGTCATCATCTTGATTATGAAGTATTGATTGCCTAACACAATTTAGAACTCCCAGGGAGTTTCTGATATAATTGAGGCAATAGGGAAGATACATATCAAAATTGGACGCCAGGAGAAGGTGGTTCACACCTGTAATCCTACCTACTGATGAGAATGAGATCTGGAGGATCTCCATTTCTGCCAACTTGGGCAGAAAGGTTCATGAGACTTAGTCTCCACAAATAACCAGAAAAAAGCAGGCTGGAGATGGAGGTATGGTCCAAATGAAACAGTGGGAAGAAAGGAAAGGAAGGAAGAGGGGGGAGAGAGAGGGAGGGAGGGAGGAAGGAAGGAAGGAAGGAAAGAAGGAAGGAAGAAGGGAAGGAAGGAAGGAAAGAAGAAAAGTAGGAAGGGAGGGGAGAGGAAAGGAAAGGAAAAAAAGAAATTATAAACACAAAGAGGAGGAAAGAACCAATGCACTTACAGAGCTTATCAGACAGAGAAGTCTTCATGAAGATAAACCTTGAGCTTAGACACTAGAATGAGGGAGAGGGAGACAGAGACAGAGACAGACAGAGAGAGACAGAGACAGAGTAAGAGAGAGTATGGATTGTGTGCCACATTGGGGAAGAATGACCAGGTTTTCTGGAAGGAAGAGCTTCAGTAAAGGACTAGTGTTGCTATTTGGTAAACAGATGCTTAAGCAGTATAGAACCTTATCTAAAACTTGACAGTTATCCTGTGGATAGAAGTTAGTGGGCCAAAAACTTTAGTGTAGAGGAGGAAGTATGAATTGAGAAAGAGGGTGGCAGGAGAAGGGGATAGGCTTAGAGCAAGACAGAGATGACTTAGGGCAGAAACAGAAAGTGGGGAAGGAAAGGAAGAAACAGAGATGAGAGAGTTATGAAGGGAAAATGGAGAGCATGTGGTGACTGGTGAGATGGGAGGAAGATAGGAAGAGAAAAGAAGAAAAGAGGAAGAAACAAGAGCCCTGGAAGTCTCCCTGTTTTCCAACATGAGTGACAAAGAGAATGAACACATTTTCCTGAAGAGTTAAGCTTCCCCTTTCTCAATAAGATTCCTCCCATTCTCTTGTTTCTGGCTGACCTTGGAACTTAGGAGAACGGCTTTGGGGAAAACTGTCCTACCACATCCCAGCTGCTTGTAAGGATGATAACAGGGTTCTGATCATGGTATTATGTAAAAGAACTGGAGGATACTTGATGTGTATGGAACGGTACAATGAAACAGAGGATGCCTGGATCTAGGACCTCTTAGATTTGATGGTTCACAACCGAATTTTAGCTATCAGAGCCAAAGCCAGTATTATCGTTGTTGTTATTTAGTATATCCACTTCTCTTTACAGATAAGGAAAGAGAGGCCTCAGAATAAAGGTAATTTCTCCAAGATCACATGACCAGAGAACAGCAAGCTAGGGCCAGAGCTTCATTTTCTAAGTCTTAATAGCCCAGTGCTCTTTGCTGATTGCTTAGCATCACACCTGCTGGAAAGAGGTGGGTACACATGTGCTTGCTTGAGAAATGAGGCATTTTATTGAAATAATTTCTTCTCTATGGATTTACGATAAAGCTTATTTTATTTTATTCCTCAGAGAATAGCAACAATGATTCAAAGTTGGTTTTTGTTTAAAACTCGATAGGTATTTGTGACATATGATATTTGGCTTACCACCCCATTTCTATCCTGACCATCTAAAGATTTATCTTGGGTCAAGTTAAATTGTCTTGGTTGAGCTTTGAGATGTGATACTTTTCCCAGCCATCTCTCTGCATTATCCTGGCATGACAGAAAAATTGATCTGGCATCTTTTTCTTTTTTCTTTTTGTTGGTTGTGGGGCTTGAACTCTGGGCCTGGGCGCTGCCCCTCAGCTCTTCAACTCAAGGCTAGCACTCTACCAATTGAGCCACAGTGCCACTTCCAGCTTTTTCTGCTTATGTGGTACTGAGGAATCGAACCCAGGGCCTCATGCATTCTAGGCAAGTACTCTACCACTGAGCTACCTTCCCAGCCCTTGATCTGGCATCTTTTTCATCTGAAGCAAACTTACGAAAATTCACAAATTGTAAGCTAATTAAGGGGACGGAACAAGGGAAGAAAAAATATGATGCACAGAAATACTAAGAGCTTGGTAAATATTTAAGAGGAAGAGAAAAAGAGGAAGGAGGGAGAGACAGAACCTGACAGGAAATGTGCCTTGGTGCAAGAAGAGGGATTTTCCACTCATGGAGAGCAGGGAGGGACAGCATTCTGACCACCCACCCCAGGGGTTCTTGGGACTTTCCTCTGTCCACTTTACTAGACCAGTTCCCTGGGAGGCAAAACTGGACAAAACTGGTCCTTTGGTTCCAACATGCTAAAGGTAATTGGAAAAATTCATTGATACTGGGTTTGCCACTTAAAGCCCTTATATTATGCCAATCTCAGAAGCCAACAAACACCAGGATGACCCACTCACTAAATTCTGAGAAGACAGAAGAGCTTCTTCCTGTCTCTCTCAAGGGAAACACAGAACCCAACACAGACATTGTCTTTTCTTTTCCAAAATCCTTCCTCGAAAGGAGGCTGTCTTACAATATCCCCATCTGTCCTCAGAGCCCACATGGCTCAGAGACACATTCAGGGAAGTTTTTATCATTTTCCTACCCCTCCAGAGCCAGGGATGGCATAAACCTGGAAGCCCAAATCTTAGGTAAGACAGATAGGTGAGTCCCAAAGACACGACGACACTGGTCTCTGGAGCCCTCCTAAGAACAAGAAGTCTGTTTGTTTGATGTTCTAGGAAGCCAACAAGAGGAAATGCACTTTAGCTGGAAAAGGAAATAAAACCTGCCTAACAATGCGTGACTGCCAAGTCAGTGGGGTGAAGGGTAAAAACAGACAGCTAGAAAGGAGAGTGGGCTTGGAATAGAGATGACATCTGAGTGGTGGGGATGGCTGGGAGGCCATGGCTCAGCATGAGCCATGAGCACGATCGCTTCAAGCAGATGGGTAAGTCTGTCATTGATGTGCATGCCCCCTTTGACCAGCCAAAGGTGTGTGTGTGTGTGCGTGCGTGTAGCTGCAGCATACTGCAGTCTAACACTGGAAGGAAATAAGGGTAAGTCAACCATGTCTGAGGTCAGCCTCATCTATAAACTACAAACTCCTACAAAATCTGTGTGTGTGTGTGTCTGTGTTTGTGTCTGTGTCTATGTCTATAATGCACTGGGTCTATGAAGCATAGTGTCACTGGGCACTTTCTGTTGTTTTTGCTTCTACTATTGTTCAAACATCTTGGATTCTCTGTGCAGACTTATGAAAGCTGCTAGCCTTTTTCATTTTCTCCTGGGTTTTCTGTCTCCAACCTCCATTTCTCAGGCTGATTGGCCACTGCCTGATGGGGAGCCATGTAACTTGGAGTGAAAAGATTTTGACTAGACTGAAATAAGCCCATGAAAACAAGTCATCACTGTCATGTTACCAAATGTCAGACATTCAGATTAGCTGATGGCAACACACTCATTCCTATGCTTCATATCAAGGAATGTTTCATACGAGGACCAAAAGATGGGCCATAATGTGCTGGCACTAGCACTGCCCCAATCCTGACCATTACAGGAAGGTCAAACCTAGAACACACCTCAGCATGACATAACAGGACAAATAGGCAGTGTCAATCAGACCTAAATTTTGTTGCTATTCTGAATATAGTAGCTCAGTTATGTTGCACATAGGAAGCAGTGTTATGGCAGGGACATTTTTTAGAAGGAAGGTCTATCTTGAAATCATTTGGAACCAAATAGATCAATATCCATCTAGAGAGTAGGGTTGTATGTCAGTGGTAGAGCACTTGCCTAGCATGCACCATGAGGTTTGAACCTCAGCAACACACACACACACACACACACACACACACACACACACACACACAATCCATCTGAAGACATCACTTCCTAAACCCAGAACAGGCTTCAACTGGGAGTGGTTAGATGCAAAAAAAAAAAAATACTTGGCCAAGGTGCTGAATTGTGTTTCAAAGAAAACAAGAAGAGCCTGAAATCTTGCTCCCCTTTCTTGAATTCAGCCTTCTTCTGAGATGCCCAGCTCATTTTAACTTGATTCATCATAAGAGAAACATTGTTACATTCCAACCAGGAGAGGAGGACATCATTCTTTGGAAGGTAAACTGGGGGAAAGAGGGGAAATGGGTTTTGATGAATGTGTTTCTGAACGTTCTCTCAAAGCATATCTATTTTATAAAATGGTTTATGTCTTCAATGGTCTATTTTGTAAAAGGCATTTTCATGAGATTTTGTTTTTTCTGCCACTTCCTATTTCCTTCTTATACAGATGGATCTAAGGAACTTGAAGTTTTTTGTTTTTGTTTTTTTGGTTTTGTGTGTGTGTGTGTGTGTGTGTGTGTGTGTGTGTGTGTGTGTGTGTTTAGTTTGAAGTCATTGAAATAGAAGGCATCTAGTTTTTTTAATTTATTTATTTATTTATTTATGTTTTGATTGGTCATGGAGCCTGAACTCTGGGCCTGGGAGCTGTCCCTTAGCTCTTCAGCTAAAGGCTAACACTCCACCACTTGAGCCATAGCACCACTTCTGGCTTTTTCTGCTTATGTGGTGCTGAGGAATTGAACCCAGGGCCTCATGCATGCAAGGCAAGCACTCTACCACTGAGCCACCTTCCCAGCCCAAGGTATCTAGTTTTAATATCTGGTTTTTTATTTTAAAATTTTTTCCAGGATCCCATTGTTTTGGTTGTTTCATTTTTGTTTTCTAATAAATTCAAGTCAATAAGTAATATTACTCTTTTTTTCCCTTGGTGCTGGTCCTGAGGCTTGAATTCAGAGCCTGGGCTCTGTCCCTGAGGTTTTTTGCTCAAGTCTACAGTTCCTTTTATACTTTTTTTTTTTGGTAGCTAATTGGCCATAAGAAGAGTCTCACAGACTTTCCTGCTCAGGCTGGCTTTGAACCTCAGTCCTCAGATCTCAGCCTCCAGAGTAGCTAGGATTAGAGGCATAAACCATCTGTGCCTGGCATAATATTACTCTTTTTAATGTATTATGTAAAATAGTGTTTTTATGTCATTTTATACATGCTTATAACATGCTTTAATCATATTTACCCCATTGTTCTCTTTTGTTCCTATCCCCCCTCCTACTAAACACATTCTTATTCCCAAATAGCCACCCTTCAAATTTCATGTCATTTTAAATCTAGACTTTGTATGTGTAAAGAAATTTACAATATTTGTCTTTCTAAGTCTAACTCATTTCACTTACTAGTGGTTTTCCACCCATTTTCCTGCAAATGACAGTTTTATTCTTTATGGCTGAATGAAATTCCATTGTGTATATATAACCACATTTTTTTTTGCTTGGGGCTTGAAGTTAGGGGCCAGGCACTGTTCCTAACCTTCTTTTGCTCAAGGCTAGCACTCTACCACTTAAGCCATAGAGCCACTTCTAACTTTTTCTGTTTATGTGGTACTGAGGAGTCGAATCCAGGGCTTCATGCATACTAGGCAAGCACTCTACCACTAAGCCACATACCTAGCCCACTACCTATTTAATCTGCTTGCCCATTGATGTCCCAAGACTGATTCTGTAACTCAGCTATTGTGAATAGTGCTGCAATAAATATGGCTGTTCAGATATCTATACTTTATATACTTACATTCCTTCAGACATATGTAGAGGAATGCGCATATGTGTATATATAGTAGTCTTATTTTTAGTTTGCTGAAATCCTCCAAGCTGATTTCTAGAGTGGCTATACTAGTTTACATTCCCACCAACCATTCCTTTCTCCCTATGTGCTTACCAGCATCTGTTGTTTGTTTTCTTGATGATAGTTGTTCTGACTGAGTGAGATGAAATCTCAGTGTCATTTTCATTAGCATTTTCTTTATGGCTAATGATGTTGGGCATTATTTCATGTATTACTGGTTATTTGAACTTCATTTGAGACCTGTCCATTCAACATTCTAGGCTCTTCTCACCTCTCTTCTGGCTACCTCAAAAAATAAATATTGTGAGGGCTGGGAAGGTGGCTCAGTGGTAGAGCGCTTGCTTTACATGCCTGAGACCCTGGGTTCGATTCCTCAGCACCACATAAGCAAAAAGAAAAAAAGCCGGAAGTGGTGCTGTGGCTCAAGTGGTAGAGCGCTAGCCTTGAGCTGAAGAGCTAAGGGACAGCACCCAGGCCCAGAGTTCAGGCCCCACGACCGGACCCCCCCAAAAAAATATTGTGAAATGATGACCAAAAACATTTCAATGTTTTTAAAAAATCACTTTAGAGTCAAAAGATTGGGTGAAAAGCAAGGAGGGTGAATAAATGAATGAGAAAGAGAACCATTTAGTAGTCCCTAATTTTAAGAGCTATTTATTACCTACTGGGGGGCTTAAGAAATAAACATGTTCAGGGTGTGGGAGTTTCTGCCTCCCATGGCTAGATCAAGATGACATATCTCAGCTGGAAGATGGGAAGAAGGGGGGTTGCTCCACCCAAGTCAGTGATATTACATCAACCAAATCTTACCATCCCGAACTTTCCTCGTGCATTTGCCTGGAGCCACAGGGTGTTTCCTGCTGAACCTGTGTCTCCTCTAAGTCACCTCAACCCCTCAAAATGCTGGGCCTTTCCCAGAAGTAAATCCTTGCCAGAAGGTATAAAAGATCAGCTGCTGTGCGCAGAGCAATGGCCCTGGCTACCACAGGAGGCTGAGACCCATGGCAGGTAAGGTTCAGTAGTGTTACTCATTCCTGGCTTTTACAAAGTTAATGATGTGATTTCCCTAAAGCCTTCTCAGAGCACTTAGTTTTGGGTTTAAGCATGTCTTCTTGGTACATTATCTGATGCCAGATTTGGCAAGCGCAAGTCAGATCATCCCTGTGTGGAGGAAGATAGAAGGGGTCTACACCCACTGTAGGGCAAGAAGGCTTTTCTGCTTCTGAAAACAAAGACATAGAATCATAAACTTGGGGCCAGAAATGTCTCTTACACATTCTGTTCAGGAACTGAGTTCTTAAGACAGGTGTCTAGGGTCACTTAAAAAGTTGGAGGGAGCTGGGAATAGGGCTTAGTGGTAAAATGCTTACCTAGCATGCATGAAGCCCTGGATTTGAGTCCTCAGTACTACATAAGCAGAAAAAGCCAGAAGTGGGCTGTGGCTCAAGTGGTAGAGTACTAGCCTTAAGCAAAAGAAGCTCAGGGACAGTACCCAAGCCCTGAGTTCAAGCTCCAGGACTGGCAAAAAAAAATTGTAGGTAAATAGTAACAAGTGATGTTCTTAAGACTGGTGTCATGTAATACAACCTCTCCTCTATAGTAGAGCTTCTGTGGTGTTTTTCTAGAGCTCCCTAAGCCAGAACTCTCAGATCTCCATCTCATTTCCGGCATCTCATGCCAGCTATCTGAAGCATATCTGAACATCTAGTTTAGCCCTGAATATCTGTCCCTGTTGTCTTAAGTGTCCTCTGGCTACCTGACTCTCATCCAAGTGTATAAACTGGATGGTCTTTCTTTCTTTTGAGAGAATGAGGTAGTTGAATCATATTTGGGGGGGGGGTGGAAAGTGTCAGTGGTGGGCTTGAACTCAGGGCCTGAGCACTGTCTCTGAGCATTATTTTGCTCCAGGCTAGCACTCGAATACTACTGTTTTTTGGGGTAGTTAATTGGAGATAAGAGTCTCATGGACTTTCCTGCACAGGCTGGCTTTGAATTGTGATCCTTAGATCTCAGCCTTCTGAGTAGCTATGATTACAGATATGACCTACCAGTGCCTGGCCTGAATCATGTTGGGTTTTTTTGGTTTTGTTTCGTCTTACTCTCAGGTGCATTCAGTAAGTATAGAACACCTCACCTTCGTAGAAGATTGTTTCTGCTGTGAAAGGCTTGATAAGAGCCACTCAGGATATAAAAGGGAAACAAACCCAAACCCAAATTCCATTTTCCCTACTACCTGCTCACAAAATGCTTCCAATACCAGGTTGGTGGGTTCCTCAGTCACCCAACAAGCATAGCTGCAGGTAGATGCCCCCTGTGTGCCCTCTAATTGGGTGCTGACACTCACAGGTTGAAGGTTCAGTCTTAGGGACTGCCAATCACAAGCTCCAAGTTGCTTTATCCTGTGCTTCTGATCAACTGGCTATAAATTAGAGTACCCACACCCTCCTTCCTCAAGTCTGATTCATCTACTAGAGTTGCTCAAAGAAACATTGGTATTTATGAGTTTATTATGAAGGATAGTATAAAGGATACAGAATAGAGGTGCTGAGGGCAGGTATGAGGGAAGGAACAATGGAGTTCCTCTGCCTCTCTGGACACACCATCCTCCAGAAGCTTCCTGTGTTCAGCTACTTAGAAGTTCTCTAATATTATCCTTTGTGCTTTTATAGAGATTTTATTAAGTATGATTGCAGCCTAGACAACCATGAAATTCTAATGCTAGCAGACTGGGTGGGGACACCCAAAAAGGCATGTGTTCAGATTCCTGGCCTTTCTATGAACCATTCCTTGCTCTCTCCTGGATATGGAGCAGGATTCCTTCTGAATGGGAACATTGTGATCTACCATCAAACAAGGTCATTTTGGGAGTTTCATTATGCCCAGCTCCAGCACAGAAAGATAGGGAATGATAAGACTTTCTATGACTTTCTTTTGGAAAGATAACTTCTGTTTTTATGGCTTAACCTAAGGAGGAACTTTTGAGCCAAGAATCATGGAATCATGGATGAAAAACCACATATATGGGCTGGGAATGGGCTTAGTGGTAGAAGGCTTGCCTAACATGCAAAAGGCCAGAAGTGGCGCTGTAGTTCAAGTGGTACAATACTAGCCTTGAGTAAAAACAAGCTTAGGGACAGTGCCCAGGCTCTGAGTTCAAGCCCCAGGACTGGCTATGTGTGTGTGTGTTTGTGTGTGTGTGTGTGTGTGTGTGTGTGTGTGTGTGCGTGTGTGTGCGTGTGTGTGTTATATGTATACAATTTTATATACATATATTTTCCATATACACATATTTCTATATGCAAGTATTTTTTGTCTTTCCTATTGACTCATGCCACCATTCCTAACAGCTCTCACCATTCATGGAAAAGAATTCCCATGGTTCCTTCCCTTCTCAGTCTTTCTCCCGGTCTCTTTGGTGACTGCTCAGCATGTCTAAAAGCCACATTGGTAGAAGGTGTGGTAGACAGAGAGTGGTCTTCAGACTAGACACATCACTTGTTACAGGTTCTCAGGCCCTTAACCTTCTACTCTGAATTTATCAAGATCCCCAAGTGATTCTTAGATATGCTACAGTGTGAAAAGTCACCTACGAGGCTACAAGTACTCCCTCTTGTACAATCTCCAAATGCTACATTTCTCTGCTCTGTCATTCACTTAGCATGTGCTCTAGCATTCTATGTCTTAGGGGAGCTCCACACTTTGCTAAAAACCAAAGGGCTCAGGAATGCTTTGGCATCAACCTTGAGAGTAAGAACATGGTAGACATCCAAACACCACAGAAGCTTGTGGCTGACCTCTCTCTCTCTCTCTCTCTCTCTCTCTCTCTTTCTCTCTCTCTCTCTCTCTCTCTCTAGCCCTGTTTTCCCTATTGCCAGAGGCAATATGTTTCCAGGATCTTCTGCACACCCATTTTTCAGTGCCTTGACCCTGTATTTGCTTGCCTCTGCTTTCTATTCCACACCTTTCCCTTCACACCAATCAAGAATCTTACCATGAAATGCAAACTAATTTAGCTTTGGATTTGAATTCCTTCTCCTCCCTTCCAAGTGAGGAGAGAATATCTGAAGGAAAGGAGTGGAAAAATAAGTAGCTAAGCTTTGTTTCCTGTCATCACCCTATCTTGGTGGTTCACACTTGTAATCACAGCCCATGGAAGGCTGAGGCAGGAAGATCAAAAGTTCAAGGCGAGCTTGGGCTACACAGTGATACCCTAACAGGCCCAAAGGGAGTGGAAAATATAGAATTGCTGTTCAGTGAATAGAAGGTTTCTGTTTTTCAAAGTGAAACAAGCCTAGAGATCTTTTACTCAAAAATGTGAATACATTTGCTGTAATGTAGAAAATAATGGTTAAAATGATAAATTTTACACTGCATGTCTTTTGTTTGTTTGTTTTGGCCAGTCCTGGGGCTTGAAGTCTGGGCCTGGGCACTGTCCCTAAGCTTCTTTTGCTCAAGGCTAGCACTTTACCACTTGAGCCACAGCACCACTTCCACTTTTCTGAGTAGTTTATTGAGGATGAGTCTCATGAACTTTCCTGCCCAGGCTGGCTTCAAAACATGATCCTCAGATCTCAGCTTCCTGAGTAGCTAGGATTATAAGTGTGAGCCACCAGTGCGTGACCTGTATGTTTTGTTTTACCACATGTGAAAAGGAAAAAAATCTTTAATGATCTTTTACTCACAAATCTCTGCTTGAAAAAGCAGATTTCTGCTGATTCAGTGAACCTTATCATGGTCCTCTGGTATTCACAAAGAAAGGGTAACAGTGTCTGGGTATGGGGATGTGCCTAAAATTGACAGAAAGAAGGAGATGGAAGGAAGGAAAGAAGGAAGGAAGGAAGGAAGGAAGGAAGGAAGGAAGGAAGGAAGGAAGGAAGGAAGGAAGGGAAGGAGGGAGGGAGGGAGGGAGGGAGGGAAGGAGGGAGGGAAAAAAAGAATAATAGTGGGACAGAAAGTCCCAGAATTTTTTCCTACTGGGGCCATATAGATCTAAATACAAAAGCCCGCTGAAGAGTTGAGCTATTTGATCAGTTATGTTGGGGGGAAAAGTCTTGACCAGAAATGTGTTTCCATTGTAACTCAGTGGTAGATGCTTGCCTGGTTTGTGCAAAGCCTTGGCCTGGGTTTGAGCCCTATTAGAGAAAAAAATTAGGGGGAAATATAAAAGGGAAGATGGGGAATGGAGTCAAAAGCTGAATTCCTTGAACCGTGGTACACAAATGAGGTTATTTGGAGAGTGTCTGGGAGGTGGGCTGTGCCATCTCTCAGGCAAAGCTAGGGTGTGTTTTCTCTCAGGGAGCTTTGGGCAGGTTTGAAGGGTCAGCTAATTTGAGGTTGTTCATCCTGGGAGTGCCTGGAGTCCACTCAGGAATACGATGCTGAAGGGAAAAACATAACATCATGAAGTCTTGGGAGCCAGTCAAGAGCCTGGTCTAAGCTAGGCACTGGTGTCTCACATTTACAGTCCTAGCTACGCAGGATGTTGAAATATGAGGGTCTCAGTTCAAAGCTAGTCTGGGCAAGAAAGTCCATGAGAATCCTAGCTCCAACTAACTACCAAAAAATTGGAAATGGAACTATGGCTCAAGTGGTAGAGCACTAGCCTTGAGCAAAAGAAGCTCAAGGACAGTGTTTAGGCCCTGAGTTCAAATCCCAGTACCAGTACATACACAAAATTAAGAAGGCTGGAAATGTGGCTTAGTGGTAGAGTGCTTGCCTAGCATGCATGAAGCCCTGGGTTTGATTCCTCAGTGCCACATCAACAGAAAAAGCTGGAAGTGGCACTGTGGCTCAAGTGATAGAGTGCTAACCTGGAGCAAAAGAAGTTCAGGGACAGTGCCCAGACCCTGAGTTCAAACCCCAGGACTGGTGGAAAAAGAAATGAGAGTCTGGTCTAAAGAAGCAATTATTCCAACCGTATATATGAGCACCTTTCTAGACAAGAGCCATAATCTCTTCAAAAGCTATTTGGCATCTACCTCACCAAGCCCAAGGAGGCCCCTTGTCAAAAGATAAAGCTGCTCAAATTGGTTCCGAGTTAAAGTTCATGATGAAGAGGTAGATTAACCTAGGAGCCGGAACCTCTTTGGGTGTCCTGAGACACCACTATGGAATTAGAGGAGTTTCTGAACTTGTCACAACTTTCTTGTATGTGTTGATAGGGAAACCCCCTGTGGGGTTTTAAAGGAAAGATGGGGCATCTGCCTCAGGCACAGTCCATCCCTGGTGCGGACAGAGGAGACAGACAGGAAAGACAATTTCCTAGGAAGAAAGGAGGAGGGTAACACCAATGGGTGGGTAACCGCACTTTTCAACCCTATGACAAAACCAACACATGATTTCAGGATCACAGGGTGTCAGGGCAGACTGGAAGATCCTGCCTCACTTGACCCTACCCCCTCGCTAAGTAACCTGTCCAAGAGTGCAGAGCTGGGTGTTAAGTAACCTATCCAAGAGTGCAGAGCTGGATAGAGTGACAATTCAGGGCCTCAGACCCTGAAGCTAGTGTTCCTTCCCTTCCACTTTGCCTCTTTCCATCTCTCCCTGTGCATGTAGTAGGCTTCCCTGCTCCTGTGGTAGGGCATTTGGTGGTCCCTACTTTCTGAGAGTCAGTCTATCCCACAGGCGCTCCATTGAGGCTCACGACATAATTCTGGGTCTCTCTCACAGGGATGAGGATCCTTCTCCATCTCCCAGCCCTCCTGGCTTTTCTGGTCTCGCTCCAGGCTAAAAGGCCTGCTAAAAATGGTAAGTGTCACACTGAATTGGTTTCCCATAGTTTTCACCACAAAGCACCTTGAACTGGGTGCATGAAGACAATGGAAATTTATTCTCTCACAGTCCAGGAGACTTGAAGTCCAAAATCAAGGTGATAGCAAGACCCTATATCCTCTAAAGGCTGAAGAGGAGGAGCCTACTTTGCCTAGTCCAGCTTCTGGTGGCTCCAAAGCATTCATGGAGTTCTTGGTTCATAGCTACAGCATGCTAATTTCTGTTCCAGTCCTCATATGCCTCCTTGTGTGTCCTCTCCCTCTCTCTAAAATCCACTGGGTATCACAGCTCATACCAGTAATTCTAGCAACTCAGGAGGCTGAGATCTGAGGATCATAGTTCAAAACCAGCCTAGATAGGAAAGGAAAGGCTGTGAGACTCATCTCCAATTAACTACCAAAAAGCTGTAAGTGAAACTGTGGCTCAAGTGGTAAAGCAATAGCCGTGAGCACAAAAGCTCACATATAGTGCCCAGGCCGTGAGTTCAAGACCCAGGAGCATGGGGTGCACGCGTGTGCACGCACACACACACACACACACACACACACACACACACACACACACACAGAGTCAGGCGCTGATGGCTCATGCCTGTAGTCCTAGTCAGGAGTCTGAGATCATTTGAGAATTGAGGTTCAAATCCAGCCCACGCAGAATAGTCCATGGGGTTCTTATGGCCAATAAACCACCTAAAAAACAGAAATAGAGCTGTGGCTCAAAGTGATAGAGTGCTAGCCTTCAGCCAAAAAACTCAGCCCTGAGTTCAACTCATAAAAACAAAAACCCACTAATCATTGGACTAAGGGTCCTCATCCAGTATGATCTCCTCTGAATCAATAATACCAGCAAAGACTATTTATAAATAAGATTATATTCTGAGGATCCAAGAGCACATGAATTTTCACTAGACAATTTTCTTTGTGAGTGAAAACAAGGAAACCCACCACTGGCTTTATACCTTCGCTTCCCCAGTTTAGGTCCTGGCAATCAGTAAATTGATGGACTTGCTTAACTTTCCACAGAATTTGTCCCACCAGGAACCAAAGAAATTCCAACCAACCTGATTGGTTCAGTAGTCCTATCCCTGGGTGTTCCAATACATTCCTGAAAGAGGTCTTGATCTTTTGTTGAAGATAAAAAAAAAATAGTCTTCCCATTCTTTTTCCCTTAAGGGAAAATTTTGTAATCTTAATTTCCTACCTGCTCAGATTTCTTCTGTCTGTTGTGGGGCTTGAACTCTGGGCCTGAGCACTGTCCCTCAGCTCTTCAGCTCAAGGCTAGTGCTCTACCACTTGAGCCACAGCACCACTTCTGGTTTTATGATGTTTTATTGGAGATAAGAGTCTCACGGACTTTCCTGCTGGGGCTGGCTTTGAACCATGATCTTCAGATCTCAGTCTCTTGAGTAGCTAGGATTACAAGCATGAGCCACCGGTGCCCTGCAAGCCTGCTCAGATTTGAAAGCTGTGGGATAATGGCTGAGAAAGAGGGAGACAGAAGCTAGGGGCCGGTGGCTGGTGCCTGTAATCCTAGCTACTCAGAAGGCTGAGATCAGAGGATCACAGTTCAAAGCCAGCCCCAGCAGGAAAGTCTGTGAGACTCTTATCTCCCATAAACTACCCCCCAAAAATACTGGGAGCAGAGGTATGGCTCAAGAGGTAGAGCACTAGACTTGAGCAAAAGAAGCTCAGGGCCTGAGTTCAAGCCCCAGGACTGACACAGATAAAAAAAAATGGAGACAGAAAAAAAGGATACCTCCAAGGAGTGGGGTCTGATTTTCTGCTTCCTGCTTCTCCCCATCCCCAAGCACAGATCACTAGAATTTCAACCATCTCGGCTACTGTGAGTCAGGTCAAGGTCCAAGTCAACAAGGCCTACCTGGAATCCCGGACCAGGTAAGAAAGATACATATACATATATGTATACACTTCCTGTCACATATTTCCTGTTAACTAGCCCATCTAGGCCAGCCCTGCCAAACCAGTGAGCCCAAGCAATTATAAAACCTGCCCTTCTACCTGGTTCATACCTCTAAGGATGTGACAAGTAGCATCAATAGCTGCCAACTCCCCAAATCCTCAGACTCCAAGATGTCCTGAAGGCCTTTGTTGCTTATGACCCAGTGTTTCCTTGGATCCTGAGTGTCCCCCCCCCCCTCAGAAGGGTACAAATTCTTTATTCACCCAACTCATATTTTCACTTACTCCACTCTGGCTCTCTAGAAGCAGAATCCTAGGTTTGCTCAGGACAGGTGATTTATGAGGGTTGTGCTGTCAAGGGACAATGCTGTGGAATGCAGGAAAAAAAAAAACAGAAATAAAAGGAAGGAATTAAGTGAGGATATGGTTTATGGTCCAGCCCTAGCTTTACCCTCTGGGAGACCTCGGTTACTCTTGAACACCTCTAGTCAGGCAGCTCCATTGGATGGCCCAGAAGCTGCTCCCATCACAGCTAGGGGAGGAGCACACAAACCCTCAAAAGGAATCCAAAGGAAGCCAGGTGCCAGTGGCTCACCCCTGTAATCCTAGCTACTCAGGAGGCTGAGATCTAAGGATCACGGTTTAAAGCCAGCCCCAGCAGGAAAGTCTGTGAGACTCTTATTTCCAATTAATCACCAGAAAACTGGAAGTGGTGCTATGGCTCAAGTGGTAGAGCGCTCGCCTTGAGCTGAAGTGCCCAGGACTTGAGTTCAAGCCCCAGGACTGATCAGGAAAAATATATATATATTCAAGGGAGGCCCACCAGCAAAGTCAGCCACCCGCCACCCAGGGGCTGGGACTGGTGAGCAAAGCAATCCAGACTGGATTGCTGCCATCAGGAAGTGCATGTGTTATACCAAAAGGACTAATGAGAAATAAGAGGAACCCTAGCAGTGAGCTTATTCATTGCTCTTGTTCTGTCCCTGATGCTAGAGTTGTAGCATCCTTCCTCCTTGCCTCTGAATGAATCCTCAGACACTTAGCTGATTCTTTTGGCAACTGTTTATTTATTTAGTGCTGGTACTGAGCCTTAACCTCCAGGCGTGGGTGCTGTTCCAGAGCTCTTTTGCTCAAGGCTAGTGCTCTATCACTGGAGCCACCGCTCCACTTCCAGCATTTTATTTATGCATTTGTTTTTGTATGTGGTTAATTGGACATAACAGTCTCACATACTTTTTCTTGCCCATGCTGGCTTTGAACCCTGATCCTCAGATCTCAGCCTCCTGAGTATCTGGGATTACAGGCACAAGCCACTGGCACCAGACTCTTTTGGTAACTTTTGAATGATAAAATGTGCTCTGGTCATTTCTAGTCCCCAAGACTAGAATTCCATTTCAGGAACTAAAAGGTCAGCATAAGAAGACACAGACAGCCCCAGACTGCTTTTTTTCCCTTGACTCAGAGTGACCTTGGAGGTCTGTGGTGAGAGTGGGGAGTCCAGGGGGCTTCTCCCTCACTCCTGACCTGTCCCCCTCCCTCACTTCCCCTTGGGGACTGAGGGATGGACTATGGCATGACCAACATTTCTGGACAAGTCGGTGTCTCAAGGGAGAGCCCGAAATTCCTTCTCTACTTGGATACTTTTCTGGTCTTCTCACCATTCTGCTGCCAGCTCCAAGATCTGGAAAATTCTAACCCAGTGCTGACAACCCCAACACCTGAAGCACCCAGCTTTTTTTTTTTTTCTACCCCTTCGGCCCCTCTCTGGGTGAATTGGGCCATGCTGTCTCTTTTGCAACAGAAGCAAAATGGCAATATGGCTTTTCTCTTGAGCTCTTTTTAGGGAAGTTGGGGCAGCCCTTGAGATAAAAGTTAATGAGCAGGGTCCTTCCTGTTGTCTCCTTACTTACCCAAATGGTGTCTCAAGCTGAGACCCAGCACCCCCGGCTCTTCAGACAGAACTAGTGGCCTGTCACCCAGAGACAGACCTGTCTCTACAGTTAATGGATATACTCAAAAAGAGGTCTTTCTGCCAGCCACCGGGCACCAGTGGCTCATGCCTGTGATCCTAGCTACTCAGGAATCTGAGATCTGAGGATCAGGGTTTGACACCAACCCAGGGAAGGAAGGTTGGTGAGATTCTTATCTCCAATGAACCACCAGAAAAACCAGAAGTAGAGCTCACAGAGCACTAGCTTTGAGTACAAAAGCTCAGGAACAGTACCCAGGCCCTGAGTTCAAGCCCTAGGATGAGCATACAAACAAGTAAGCAAACAAACAAATAATAAGTCCAATAAATGAGAGCTTTCTTTTGTGAGACTCTGGGCCCTTTCTAACATCTCAGCGTCTTGGAGCGATAGGGATCACCCCAGTGAAACTGAGGCACAGTGAAGAACTTCAAGGAGGAACGTCTCTGAGACCATCTTGCCCTCCACCATCTGTGTTGTCACAAGCTCCGCAGGGGAAGGCTTTATGGTTTCTCATTTTACACATGGAAATTAAGAAATAATAAGGCCTGAGTGTCTTGCACATGGTATTCAGCAAAAGATTGGATGCTTTGGGTGGCAAACTCCACAGGAGCCCTAGGGCCAGACATAATTTGGGCTGTTTCTATGGGCAGAACTAGAGGTCCATAAGCATCTTCTTTCTAGAATTCTCAGTCCATAAGCTTGATGACAAGCCAGTTATATACCAAAGGCTCCTCACATGTGAATCAATCTGTTGTTAGGGCCTTGTGGTTTTTGAGCTCCAGGTTCTGATGCACTCAGCTTAGGTATAGCCCTCTGGTTGGAATTCGGGAACCACTTGATCCAGCTTCCCTTGGGATCAGGTCTTCCCCTTAGGACCAAAACTATTGAAGCTTAACAAGCCACTGTGGCTTCCTCTTTTCAGAAGAGATTTTTCCAGCAGTGTTAGAAAAGAAATGAACACAAAGTTTGTCTCCTCTGAGCCACACACCACCCCCCCAGGGCTCTTCCCTGGACACCGATCACTTCACATCCCTGCAGAGGACCACTAACTCCCTTCTATAAGGCCAGCTCATGATCTTCAATGCTCTCCACGGTAGGCTGAAGACCGCCATGAGCTCCCGAGCTCCCACTACCCGACAGCTCTCAGAGTATCTCAAGCACGCCAAAGGCCGGACACGCACAGCCATACGTAATGGGCAGATGTGGGAGGAATCCTTCAAGAAGCTGCAGCAGAAGATTTTCTCGGCCAATGTCACAGGTACATTAAACTCACAGGAAGGGTTCATCTCCCTGCAGAAAAGATCAGAGGCAAGCCAGGTACTGGTGGTTCATGCCTGTAGTCTTAGCTATGCAAGAGGATAAGGTCTGAAGATTGAGGTTCAAAGCCAAACAAGGCAGAAAAGTCCGGGAGACACATATCTCCAGTTAACCAGCAAAAAGTTGGAAGTGGCTCAGGTGGTTTAGTGCCAGACTTGAGCAAAAAAAAAAAAAAAAGCCAAGTGAAATTGGGCATTGATGGCTTATACCTATAATCCTAGCTACTCAGGAGGCTGAGATCTGAGAATTATAGTTTGAAGCCAACCCAGGTAGGAAAGTCTGTGAGACTCTTATCTCCACTAAACTACAAAAAAAAAAAAAAAGCTGGAAGTGGAGAAGTGGCCCAAGTGGTATAGCTTTAGCCTTGAGCAAAAGAAGTTCAAGGACAGTGCCCAGGTCCTGAGTTCAAGCCCCAGGATTGGCACCAAAACAAAAACCAAAAAGGCAAGTGAGAGCATGAGTCTGTACATTAATAGCCAGTACCGACACAAAATATGAGGGGAGGGGGGGAGAAGAGGAGGAGGAGGAAAAGGGAAGGGCAGGAAAAAGAAAGGGAAGGGAGGGGAGGGGAGGGGAGGTCAGAGTCCACCAAAAGCTGTGATCACTGTCTCAGGCTGTCAGCTCCGAAAGGCCCTCCTATCTCTCCCATCCTAGGCTCATAGGCCAAACCAGCAGAACCTGGAGCGCCTTAGGGGACAGTTAGGCCAGTGCCCTTTTAGCAAATGAAGGAACTCAGCCCTAAGGAAGGTCACAGTGGGGACAAGGGTGTTCTTTGCATAAATAACTTGGGTAAGGTACTGGAGGAAGTACCAAAGTCAGTAAACATGCACTGGCTGTCCCACACCACAGAGTCATCCCTTCTCTGAGTGACTGCAACAGGGAAGCCACCCGTGTCAGGTGGATTTACTGGGATTATTTCACCAGCAATTGCGATTCCTGTTTTGTTCTGGCTTAAGACCCATCTGACCTCATCTTAAGTTTTTTCTGCCTCCTGCCAAGGCCTTGGAAAGGGCTGAAAACTCTGAGCCTCTTTGAGGTTGGGGGTGTGTCTCTTCTGTTTCAGAGCCCAGCCTGGACCTGACATCGCTGTCCTGGGAGGTAGGCTGTGATGCCCCGGCTCCAGTAGTGACCTGTGACACCAGCAGCCCTTACCGCACCATTACGGGAGAATGTAATAACAGGTGATTTGGGGCAGGCTGGGGTGACACCTACCCAGCCCCACCCAGCCATTCCAGGAAGACCTGCCACCCACCACTTCACCCTCCTGGACCCTTTTAAAGGAAACCCTTTTACCCAATGGAGCCCCCCCACCTCGCCCCGCTTCACCAGGGCCTGGGTGGGGTAGGGGAACAAGGGGCTCAGATCTCCATATTTGAGAGGCCGCTGCCGCCAGCCTCCTTACTCTGGGTCAGGGCCCTGCCCCCCCGAACCCCGGAGACCAGCGGCGGGGGCTGAGAGGGGGTCTCCCCGGCTTTCAGGAGGGACCCCACGCGGGGAGCCGCCAACCGGGCGCTGGCTCGCTGGCTGCCGGCCGAGTACGAGGACGGGCTCTCCCTCCCCTTCGGGTGGACGCCGGGCAAGACGCGGAACGGCTTCCCGCTCCCGCTGGTGAGGGCGGACGGGGTGAAGTAGGGGAGGTGGAGGGGAGGAGATCCGCGAACCCCCAATACCCACTCCCCACAGGGCTAGGGGGAGGCGGGGACGCAGCCCTGCGGGAGAAGGGCGATTCGGACTTGTGTTGTTCCTCCAAAACGCCACCAGAGGGCAGCAGAGCCCGGGGCCGAGCCACGCGGTGCTCGCTGGCTGGCGCGTTCTCTGTCTCTCTCCCCCTCTCCTTCTCCTTCCCCTCCCCCTCCCCCTTCTTCTCTCCCCCTTCCCTCCCTCCCCCTCTACAGGCCAGATACCCTGGGGTCTCCCAAGCAGATGGCCTCCCCGCCCCATCCTGCTCCCCTTCACTCTGGGTCAGCCCCTGGAGTGCTTCAGCTGTCGTTTGCCTCATCTGAGTTGGCAGTCCCTCCCCAAAGCCCCCTCCCCTGTCCACAGACACCTGGCATCGCCATGGCCAGGCCTCTCAGGAGCAGTCTGGTTTTGTCTTTTCACCCTGCTTGGTAGTGGACAGGGCAATGACATTGCACATGAAATCATACAGACCCGGGTTCAAACCCATCTGTCTCCTTACCTGCTACAAGAGTTAATGCCTTCTACCTCACAGACTTCTTGTTCGGGGACTAAATGCCTTGTAGCTGTTACAGCTGATGTACTAGTAAAGCGTAGTTGAATCTGACCCTCAAAGTACATTTTCTTCCCCATCTGCCCTCCTCTTCTCTCTCCACCTGCAGGCCCGAGATGTATCCAACGAGATCGCTGCCTATCTGAATGAGAAGGATGTTCTGGACCCAAACTGGTCCCTGCTCTTCATGCAGTGGGGCCAAATTGTGGATCATGACTTGGATTTTGCCCCTGACACTGAGATGAGCAGTAGCAACTACTCTAAGGCACAGTGTGATGAGTACTGTATCCAGGGAGACAACTGTTTCCCCATCATGGTAGGCCCCTGTAGCAGCCCCTAACTACCAGGGGAGCAATCGTGGGTCTCCTGAGAGATGTGGGTGCTGACTTAATAGCTTCCCAAATCTCATATGGGCATTCATTCATTCACTCACCTACCAATCAGTGATTACACATTATATCCAATTGCCAGGCAATGCATAATACATTGGGTTTTCAAAGATGAGAAAGACCTTGTTCCTGCTGTCAAAGACAGTGTGGTAAGTGAACAAGTGAGCCAGTGGCTCATGCCTGTAATCCTAGCTATTCAGGAGGCTGAGATCTAAGGATCTTGATTGGAATCCATACCTGGCAAGAAAGTCCAGGAGACTCTTACTTTCAGTTAACCACCTCAAAAAAAAAAAGTCAGAAGACCAGAAATGGAGCTATAACTCAAGTGGTAGAGTGCCAGCCTTGAAAAGATAAACAAGAGACAGCACCTAGGCTCTTGAATTCAAGCCTTTCTACTGGCACAAGGAATAATAATAATTGGGGAGCTTTGAAGAGGGGAGTTTACATCCTCCACCAGAGGGGCTGGGAAGGTGGCTCAGTGGTAGAGAGCTTGCCTTACATGCCAGAGGCCCTGGGTTCGATTCCTCAGCACCACATAAGCAAAAAGAAAAAAAAGCCGGAAGTGGCACTGTGGCTCAAGTGGTAGAGCACTAGCCTTGAGCTGAAGAGCTGAGGGACAGCGCCCAGGCCCAGAGTTCAGGCCCAATGACCGGACCCCCCCCCCAAAAAAATAATAAGCAAGAAGTTTATCAGCAGTGCAAAAATCTCAAGCCTTCCCTAACACACTGGAAAATAGATTCTACATTTTACCAGGAGATTCATTCTACATTTAAGATTTGCGGAACTTTGGCCTTAAAGTCATCTTGAATGATGACTTCATTTCCCAGGAGATGAAAGTTGATGATGGATGGGTGAATCAGTGAAAATCGGATTTGGGGGAAGAGCCAGCAGGGAGAAGAATTTGCAGTGACAGACACCCCTTTTCTTTACATGGGTTAAGACTGTCATTTATTTATGCAAATAAGAAGTCAGGCCTAGCCAGGCTCTGGTGGCTCACGCTTGTAATCCTAGCTACTCAGGAGGCTGAGGTCTGAGGATCGTGGTTCTAAGCCAGCCAGGGGAAGGAAAGTCCATGAGACTCTTATCTCCAATAAACCACTCAGAAAACTAGAAGTGGCACTGTGACGTAAGAGGTAGAGTGCTAGCTTTGAGCTGTGAAGAGCTGAGGGACATCGCCCAGGCCCAGAGTTTAAGACCCACGACCAACAACAACAAAAAAAGAAGTCAAGCCTAGAACTCGATGAGGGAGGCTCACGCCTGTAATCCATAGTTACTCAAGAGGCTGAGATCTGAGGATCACAGTTCAAAGCCAGCCTGGGAAGGATAGTCTGTGAAACTCATCTTCAATAAACCACCAGAAAATTGGAAGTGGTGCTGTGGCTCAAGTGAGAGAGCACTTGCCTTGAGCTGAAGAGCTGAGGGACAGCACTCAGCCCCAGAGTTCAAGCTCCACACCTGACCAAAGACAAAGATGAAGAAGAAGACAAAGATGAAGAAGAAGAAAAGAGGAGGAGGAAGAAGAAGAAGAAGAAGGGGGAGGAGGAGGAGGAGGAGGAAGTCAAGCCTATGTGCTGAGGATAAAGAGCATGAGCTAGAGAATTTTCAGTCTGGATCTGAATCTCACATCTTTCCCTTCTAGTTTGTTAGTGCCTGGGAAACTGACACCTTATCTGAGTCTGTTTTACCATATAAAAATGGAATCAAATTGTCAACCTGATAGGTCTTAGAAGGATGGAAGTAAGATGAAGTATTCATATTGGTTGCATGTAGTAAGTCCAAATTAAATGAGGTGTCAATTTTTTAAATTTATTTTTTCCATTTTATCAGTACTGGGATTTGAACTCACTTAAGGCTTTCATTTAAGGCTGATGCTCAACCATTTGAGCCACAGCTCCACTTCTGGCCTTTTTTTTTTGTAGCTAGTAGGAGTCTCCTATTAGAACTTTCCTGTCTGAGCTGGCTGAGACCCTTAAATCTCAGCCTCCTGAGTAGCTAGGATTATAGGTGTGAGCCACCAGCACCTGGCTTAGAGTGCCCTGCCCCCCTGTTTTTAGTAGCAATTGTTAACTTTTTCTCGTCTTATGTGATACTTTCCTGTCCAGGAATGCCAGAGCACACTCCCCAACCAAAATTCAGAGAGCCTCACTGTGAAAGATTTTGGAAGTTTTTAACTATTACTTTATTGAATATATATATATATATATATATATATATATATAGTTCTAAGGATTGAACTCAGCACCTGGCACTGTCCTTGAGCCTCTTTGTGTTCAAGGCTAGTGCTCTACCACTTGAGCCACAGCTCCACTTCTAGCTTTCCTGAGTAGTTTATTGGAGAAAGAGTCTCATGGACTTTCCTGCCTGGGCTTGTCTTTGAACGGTGATCCTCAGGACTCAGCCTCCTGAGTAGCTAGGATTACAGGGGTGAGCCACCAGTGCCCGGCCATCTTCAATGTCTTTGCATCCACTCTGTCTCTTGGGAAAGGTTATCTGAGCCCAGACGTCTGCCCCTGCAATCACCAACCACCCCCCTCCTAATCTCTCTGCAGTTCCCCTCCAGTGACCCCAAGGTGAAGACTCAAGGGAAGTGCATGCCTTTCTTCCGAGCTGGATTTGTCTGTCCCACTGCACCCTATGGGTCCCTGGCTCGAGAACAAATCAACGCTGTAACCTCCTTCTTGGATGCCAGCTTTGTTTATGGTCCCGAACCAAGCCTGGCCAACCGCCTGCGCAACCATAGCAGCCCTCTGGGCCTCATGGCTGTCAATCAAGAGTTCTCAGATGGGGAGCTGCCCTACCTGCCTTTTGTCACCCAGAGGCCCAGTCCCTGTGAGATCATCAACACCATGGCCCAGGTGCCGTGCTTTCTGGCAGGTGAGCCTAGGCTGGGGAGAGGCAAGGGTATCATCAGGGAGGCTTCTCCACTGAGCCACCACTGTCTGTGGTGCATTGGAAAAAAATAAAAGAAAGGCCCAATAAGCCTAGCACCAGTGGCTGATGCCTGTAATCCTAGCTATTCAGGAGGCTGAGATCTGAGGATTGTGGTTCAGAGCCAGCCTGGGCAGGAAAATCTGTGAGACTGTTATCTCCCATTCACCCCCAAAAAGATGGAAGAACAGTTATGGCTCAAGAGGTAGAGACCAGGGCCTGAGTTCAAGCCACAGAACCATCACAAAGGAAAAAAGGCCCAATAACAAGAGAAGACATATTTACAGTAATATGAGATGAGGAAGGGTTGGGAAGGTGGCTTAGTGGTAGAGTGCTTGCCTAGCATGCATGAAGCCCTGGGTTCAATTCCTCAGTACCACATACACAGAAAAAGCCAGAAGTGGTACTATGACTCAAGTGATAAAGTGCTAGCCTTAAGCAAAAGAAGCTCAGGGACAGTGCCCAGGCCCTGAGTTCAAGCCCCAAGACTGGCAAAAAAAATAATCATAATAATAATGAAGAAGTCCAGAAACACACCAAGAAAATTCACATGATCCTATTACTCCCCAATAATCACCATTAATTTTTTTTAATTTTTTTGGGGGGTCCGGTCGTGGGGCCTGAACTCTGGGTTTGGGCACTGTCCCTCAGCTCTTCAGCTCAAGGCTAACGCTCTACCACTTGAGCCACAGCGCCACTTCTGGCTTTTTTCTTTTTGCTTATGTGGTGCTGAGGAATTGAACCCAGGGCCTCAGGCATGCAAGACAAGCACTCTACCACTGAGCCACCTTCCCAGCCCCTAGCATTAATATTTATTGGCAATCTTTCCCATACTTTTCCTAGCGCAGGTATATTCCCTATTATTTTGCATAGTTAACTACACACTATAAATAATGCTTTATAACCTGATGTCTTCACTCCACATACTACATGCTAAGAGGGAGAGGGTACTCTAATAGAGGCAAGGTATTGTGTCGCATATATTACCATCATTTTTTTTCAACCCTTTTTAGAGTTATTCAGCTATCTTCTAGAGTTGCTGTGTTTTTCTGTTTTCTTGTTGCTTGGATAATCAACATCCTTGTGATGAATCTTTATTTTCATTTTTTTATTGTTATTGCAGTACCAGGGATGTTGTCATTTATTAAGGTAATTTACTAGAAGAGGTTCTAGATTACGAGTTTGTTATATACATGTGTGAACGTGTGTGTGTGTGTGTGTGTGTGTGTGTGTGTGTGTGTTAAGGCTTTTAAGTAACCTGGGCAAAAGCCACCATTCTAAGAAACCTATGCACAACCAAAGCCTCCTGATTCTATTTATTCCAGGGGCACATGCCCTCTGGTTCTCTCTGTCTTTGGCTTCTGAAATCTTTTTCTCCTCAAACAAACAAAAAAGACTTTCCAAGGACAAACTTCTGGTCACAAGGCAAGAGACCAGCCCTGAGCCAAGCTCCCTTGTGAGAGCTCTTGAATTTTGTGTCCCCACACATACCCTATGCCAATCTAGATCTCAAATTAAGCCCCTTCCAGGTTTTCATAAAAGCAGCTAGGAGCACCACGCATTTGTGAATTGTATAAGCTTTCTTTTTTTTTTTTTGGGTCCGGTCGTGGGGCCCAAACTCTGGGCCTGGGCGCTGTCCCTCAGCTCTTCAGCTCAAGGCTAGCGCTCTACCACTTGA